CCCTCTCCTTCCATCCTTGCCCCCAGCCCTGCAACTGAAAATTGTTGCCACCTCCCCTTCTTCCTCTTAATCCCCCTGGTTGATCTTTCGATTTTAGCTGGGCAAAGAGTGAGTTAGTATCTGCTTGTTGGCACAGGGAGGAGCTGAAGGAGTACACACCACAGACTCTACAGTTCTCCATCAGTCCCCAGGCTCTGCAGAACCATGTTGACGTGCTGCTGAGAACCAGACGGTCCCTCCAGCCAGTGGATGCAAAAATCCAGTTCATAGGTGAGGAGACATCCAGATCTGCTTAAGTCATCTATCCTGAGCATGATGGAAGCTGCTCTGAATGCACTTTTGGGACAGTTCATGAAGTCGGTGAGGATCCTTGGAGCCTGGAATGGGCCATGACATAGAACTCCCTGATGGCTTCCCCCTGCAGATTGGCCCTTTTTCCCAAGAATGGTGATTGTGGTAGAGGTCCCACCTGTTCTGTAGAAGTCTGCAGTAGATTTTCAGAGCTCCGTACAAGCTACGTTTTAATCGATATTCTGGCTACATGTGAACAGGACATCCATTCAGGCTGCTGAGAACTGAGTATCAGCAGCCTGCAGGGGAGGGAGAAGTTGTCGATCTTACTTTTTAATGTAGAAAAGCTTGGGAACACTTGCAGCTTTTGACCACCTTAGGCTGGTACAGTGGATTGCTGGCTGGAAGCTGCTGCCTGAAAGCCACTTTTTGCTTTCTTACAGAGCACGTGATGAAGCTGCCTTTCTTTGGCTACACCACCTACTTTGTAGAGAGAGTCAGCGACAACACAATCCCTGTGCCCTGTTTCTTTGGTGTGAATAAAGAGGAAATCATTGTGGTGGATAGCACTACCCAGGTATGCCAGACAATTCCTCCCTAGAGTCCAGAGCCCTGATGGCTATCAGATGTTAACTTTGACTTTCAGAAGAACTTGTGCAGGAAGAGATTGTATTTACCTTCATCACAGCCACTCTAACAACAGCCAAGTGACAAGAGTGGCAGAACAGTTTGTACTGCTATGTGCTCTTTTCTAAGTCCAGTGGTCATGCTAACAAGCACAGTCCACACTAAAACTAAGTGTATGTCACATTCCTTTTTGTCCCAATCTTGCAGGAGTTCTGGGGACACACTGGCAGCAGGAGCTTACCCTGTATTCTGTACACACTGCCCTGTGCCCTAGTCTTTGTCTCAGCTTTCAATAGGTTCTTGAGGTGAATTCTCCTTGGTGAGAATCAGATGGTTTTATTTGTAAGAACTACACCAGAGAGTGCTTTGTGGCTTTTCTCGTTACACAGGTGGTCTTCTGCACCATTCCATTGAAAGAGCTGCAGAAGATGCGAACCCTGTGGCCTATCTCTGATGGTGGGCTTCCTGGCATAGAACTGAACTATGGCTCTGCTGCCAGCCCCAAGACTATGTGGCTTGAACTGCCACAGGTGAGATCAGCCTGGACCTACAGCTTCCTCCTGGCAATTCAGAAATTGCCCTCCACCACCCAGCTGAGCCTCTGCTAAGAGACAGTACTACTGCTCTCTTCTGTCCCAGAGGTGGATGACAGCACTGCATTTCCCAGGCTCCAAAGTGCAACTTTATCCCAGCACCTACCTGATGTTTAATTATGGAAAGTGATTTATGGGAATATTTAATTATGGGAAGCAGCAATTTCTGAGGCAGAGAATGACTGATACTGATTTGTGTTTTGACAGGCTAAAGAAATGTATCACACAATTGTTGTCATCCTGGATGCAACCGAATTGCACCGCTAGAGCCTAAGAGGAAGAGAATGACCACGCGAAACAGCAGTTTTCCTCTCTCTGAGCTTGCTCAGCGCTCCCTGCCCTGTCTTCTAGAGACGACTCTTCCAAAAGACATCTATGACCCCAGACGACAGCTGCTCTCCAAGACTGCCACTGCAGTGCCTGTTGGACTGGACCATAATCCCACCCCTTGTGACCTGCCATCCAGTCCCCAAGTACTCCTCCTTGAAGGAACACATGCACCGGATAAACAAACCCTGACACCCTTTCCACACCATTGCTTTTTCATGGCCTGTTCCAGCACAGAGCAGCTGAACAGATGCAAGCAACTGCCTCCAAGCTATGCAGTGTAGGACTGTTCTTTTCTTTTGAATTAATTAACAGGAGCAAAGACTGATGCTTGCTAGATGATGCAAAGCTGAGGCTATGAAATGACAGCCCTGGCTGATGGTGTTTTCCATAGGCCAGCTTCTTCTCCGTGCTGACATGCAAGAGGTCCTGTAACAGGATTTGTGAAGCAGGAGCTTGTAGGAAGCATCTTAATTGCAAAGCAGATCAGAGTTAATGTACAATTAACACATATGCTGGGGCACAGATTGAGCTGCAATGGTAAGAAAGTTTATTGTTAATGAATTTCTTACTGACATAATTATACGCATATGCTTCTCTCTACTATAAAGAAGTCAGTCGTGTCCATGCAGCTGTCATACTTAAGTGATGGCTCTGTGCCCATGGAGAAAGCCTATTCAAATGGAACTTGTACTACAGTAGAGGAGTGTCCTGGGTTGTACAAAAATGCTTAATTTATTTTTGTTACTACAGCTATCCTACTACACTTTAGGAGATTGCAATAAAATAATCGCAGAGATATTTTGAAGCTGTGACGTGACAGATACTGGTTTACATCTAACATGGGAAGATTGGCCTGCAGGTAACTGGCAAAGTTTGAGGAAAAGGTTCCCACTGTTGGCTGGGAATGGGATGGATCTGAGGGTGCTCAATGCAAGCCACGATGCACAGCTAGCTTCTTGCTGGTGAGATGATGCCAGCAGTAACTACAGCATCTTCCCCATCAGGAACTTCCCTTCAAGTGCTGCTCGCTGGGGCCTGCGAGGTCTTAGCTGAAGCATGTTCCACCCTCCTCCTTCAGCAGTGCTACTGCAAGGCCTGGTAAAGCACTGCAGCGACGTGAAAGGGATAGAGATCTCTGAAGATTAACTTATCCTTACTCCCCTTCCCTTCCTCTGAGCTTTTGCTGCCTTACACAGAAACACAACTCGTCTGGTTAGAAATGCCCCATGTTGTGATAAAGCACTTTGTCACACAGCCCCATGCCTTAACCAGCCCCTTCTGGAGTCCCCTGATTTAGAAGACAAACAAAGCATGTCTGAGAAGTTCACCCAGCCAGCAGCTGAACTCTATAAGCACTGAAAGCTGAAGAGATAGTAACCCCACTGAAGTGGCTGATGAAACAGGATTTTTAATGGGAAGGTAAAATAGAAGCCAGCAGGCAACAGCTGAAAAATACTTCTATTGTGTAAAAGGCTTCTTGCAAAGTCCTGTGTCCTCCAGTGAGCAGAGCAAGCTGAAGATGCAAGTGACTTTTGAGTTAAATGTTTCCAGGTTCTCCTTCTGGTTCTAACTGGAGAATTCCTGCAGCTGTAAGGGGTTGGAGGTGTCTGCTGGCATATGCTTCCCATCTATCTATTCCTAGGCTTGTGTTTATTAACTGTCTGTTCAGATAAGAAATGAGCTTTCATGTCTGTGTTCACAGTGATGGAGTCTTAATGCATCTTGGACCGGTCTGTAGGATTAAGTGGTAAGAAAAAGCTTTCAGGAAGAGTTCACAGCAGATATAACATTGTTTTATTGTCAGTTCCACACATACCCTTCAGTACATTTAAAAAAAAAAATGCATCTGTTGAGTACAGTGATCCAAAAGCCTGTTTGATGGCTGCAGATTCCTCTAGAAGCAGTAGTGCCTGAGGCCACCAGCCTCCATAGGCATGGAACAAAGGCAAAAACCAACAAAAACCCAACAGAAAGGACTTGTGCCAGGGAATCAGGTTATTTCAAGTCACTGATACCCTAAGGTTCAGGCCCTTATATAAATATAGCAGCAGAGGCACCACCATGTCAATCTGAGGGCCACAGCAGTACCGTAACCAGTTCTAACAGCAGCATTGCCCTTGGTATTGCCAACTGTGGGTGAGGCACGGGGAGCAAATATGGCTTTAGGGGTTACAAGCAAATGCTGGAAAATTGTTGGCAACCTTGCTGCCACTACTGGAGAGGTTAATACTGAAAAAGCATCACCACTTAACTTAAAGGGCAGGCAGAACTAGACAAAGTTAAAAAAAAAAAGTTAAAAGAAAAAGAATCCCGAGTTTCTCCACCTTCAGAAAGTAGGCATTGCCTGCATGGTAAAACCAAAACGCTCCTCTCCTGCCCTTCAAGGGAAAACATTCCATCCAGGAACTCAACCATCAAGTTCACCATTGGCAGCCCTGAGCAAAGCATGTGAACTTGTAGCGTAAGGCTTCTATTGGTAACACTGGAATAAGAACTGAGAGATGGGGGAGCGAGGGGAGAAGCCATTGAGGAAGCAAGACCCCATCCCAAAGCAGAGTCCCAGATGGAAAGTCTGAGCTCTTCCCAGACTGCTGCAGGGAGCAGAAGCTGGAGTCACCACAGAGCATCTGAGGCAGCAGCCCCTAATCTACACAGCAGATGCAGACTTCACACCTCTTGGCAAGAGGTATCAGAGGGTTTCAGGGCCCTGGTTATTGGAGAAACTCTCTGTAAGTTCACAGAAACTGGTTTCCTGGAAGTGCAAGTCACTAAGGACAGAAGTGAGCAAAAACGCGATGAGAAAGAAAACCCACTTCTGTGGTTTCATGAAACCCTCTGTGGCCGAGTTCTTCAAGATCCCCTGGTCCCACTGCTGGAGGAAGACAGCCAACATGATGCAAGGATCAGCTCTCTGAGCTCTGCAGCTCCTGCCAGTCTGTCTCGCTCTCGCACCTGACCCTTGTTTTGAAAAAGTCTTTGATGAGTCTCTGTGCTTCCTCCTTCACTGCAAGAGAAGAGACAAGCACCACCTTTGAGACAATACTTAAGACATCCACCCCCTCTAAAAACATCAATCCACTTAGTATCAGAAGAGCCCAAGATTCTTGGTGCTCTCTCAGCTGCCAACTCACCAGTCTTGCGGGCAGGGTTCTGCTCTTCAGCCAGTAAGTGAGACAGATGCCGAGCAAAGCCCTTGAACAGCTCCTGCACGATTGGGGAAGATAAAGAGCAGAGAGCAGACGCTGGTTACTTCACCGGCCTGTTTCCACATTTGTGTTGCCCTTAGCACAGGCTGGCTCTAGCACAAACCATTCCTCGATTTGGTTTTTGCAAACCTGGAGATACCCCTGACCTGCAGTGCTGGAGAAGCACACGCAGACACTGCTGCCTTGCAGAGCACATCAAGTAAACTATGCCAGAATTGAACCTGATCTGTTGTCACTCCACAGGTGGGAGTTTTTAAAAACTTGCCAGAGTTGAGTGTGAAAACACGAACAATCACAAACGAGTGTGGAACCAACATGATACCACTCTAAATCACACACAAACCCTTTCCTGGGTGCGGTGAGTTGCTGCACCCAGACTAAACTAAACCAGCATGTACCAAGATGTGACTTGGAAATGAAATGTGGTATCCACATCATCTTGCCCTCCTTAGAGCCCCAGATCACTAGGGAGATGCCGTCTCCTCCTGCTAGAAAGGGTCTTGAGCTGTGCCCTACCTTGGAAGCGAATTTGCCACCCTTGTAGAATGGGGTCAAATATTTGACAACGATGTCTGCTGTCTCTTTGAGGGACGTGCCTTTGGTCACCGGCTGTATGGTCTTGCTCGTTCCTTCTCTATCACACTGGGATAAGTTTGGATCAAAAGTCACCTTCTTCTTTGCTGGACCAACGCCTTTGCCTTCTGGCTGGGACAGAATTGAAGACTTTGCCACTGTCCGTAGTCGCTTTGTTGCAGGACTTTCCATATCCTGGAGATGGGACAGGAGAAAAGGAAAACCACCAATTCCTGTGGCAGCACTACACTTCCAAGCAGCCACTACCTTCTAAGAACATGGATCTTTGCAGCATCCCACAGACTCTCCCTATGGTGAATACCATGCAGAAATCTACGTAACCCATTTTGCCGGGCAGACATAATACACTTTTCTTAAAGGAACTTTAAGAAAAACCCTTTAAGATAACCACATTTAGAATTACCCTGTGCTTTTATTAGGGCAGCTAATTGCTAGACCCCGTCCTATACAGGAAAAATGGACAGGAAAAGATTTCCCAGGATGTCTGCTGAGAATACACTCCTCAGGAAGAATCAACCACTTCAAGAGTGCCACACTCCTGTTCAGTTTGAAAGAGCAAAGAGAAAACTGCCCTGTCCAGTAGAGGCAGCTACCAGGCAGTCCCAGGTGCCAAGTACAGAACCAGAGACTGAATGGCAAGGAAGGCTGTGAGCATCGTTTGCTTCCGAGTGGTCCTGTGCGTCACTGGCCTGCGGTTGTTCCTCGATGTGAGAAAGCAGCTCGCTAATTACAGCTAGTTACAGCTCTAGAGGGGTGGAGAGACCCATTCCAAGCAAGTCATCAGCAAGGGTACAGCCACATGTGGTGCAGAGAAGAGGAAACAAAGCAGAGTGGAGGGGAAGCTTTCCACTGCAGTCTGGGTTGCTGGCACTGGTCCAGTGGGTGGCAGGGGGACACCAGGAGTGCTACCCACTCCGGTTCTCCTCTCTGCTCCAATTGTATCTGGGCCCTCCCCAGAAAAATTACACTATCAGGTGAAGTTCAGACCAGGACCATCACTCTCAGACAGAAACCTTGCACAAGATGAGCAGAAGAAATAGAGGAAATCAATATTCATTAAAGTCTTACCTCATCTGATCCTGGTCGCTTCCTACTCTCACCTTCCTCAACAACAGTTAGCTCAGTTTCTGTGACATT